GGGGGGCTGCCTTTGGGGTGGCGGAGGCTGCCTTTGGGGTGGCGGTGGCGGTGAGGCGGTACGGCTGTCCCTCGGCAGGAGCCTCAGATCCTGACCCAGTCGGCCGAGCAGCTGCAGCTGCGGGTGGAGCTGTGGACGGGCGTGCTCGGGGGGGCGCCGTCCGACTTGTCGAGCGTGCCGCACCTCTTCACCTCCGACCTCGGCCGCACCGTGCTGCTGCGGCACGCCTACTGCCTCGCCACGGGCAAGGTCGACGTGCTGCCCACCGATCTGCTGCTCAAGGACACGCCCTCCTTCTGCTCGGCCGTGGTGGGCTGCACCGAGGAGGAGCTGCGCGCCTTCGAGGCCGAGGGGAAGCACCTGCAGCTCTTCGCTGCAATCTGAAGACGACGCACGGCGCCCGCGTGCTGCAGATCCCATAGAAAAGAAAAGACAGAAAAAGCGCGACTTCGGGAGCACTTCATGAGTGCGGCGGTCGTCAGCAACCGCAGGCGGCAGGGGTCCGCACGCGCCCGCGCCCGGCGCCGCGGGGTCCGGCCGGGGAGCTAACCGAAAGGCGAAGCGCACCGACCTCCCCCCGCAGCGCGCCGCGCCCGGCGCCGGTCCCGGAGTCCCCCTTCGCGCATTTCGTGCGAAAATCGCGCACATCGAGTACTCTGCCGGCGGCCGTCCTCGGTCCTGCCCGACTCGAGAGAGACACCGCGATTGACACGGCTATTGCCGCAGCCGCTTTCAGAGCTGCTAGCAGCGCGGAGCGCCACGACCTATGAGCCTGCTGTGGTCCCGGTCAAGCCGTGGCATCCGATGGAGCGTTGCAACCGCGCAGCGCGCGCGTGAGATCGCGCTCGCCGGCTCCGATATGCTCATGAGAGCACGCGTCGCCGGCCGCAGCCCGGATGCCATCCGCAACGTGGGCGCTTGCTGCGTGCGTCTCGAGCTGCTTGGCACCAAACTGCAGCCGGGAGGGTGGACGGTCGGCCTGCGGGCGCCACAGGCTCGAGGCGATGGGTTTGTTGCTGCGATTGGCGGCGCACCCGGCGACCACCGCCGCGGCATCCTTGACGCGCTGGTGATGGCGCGTCACTGCGAGGGCGGCGATCAGGTCACTTTTCTCGGCGAGGACGCGCTCGAGCGATGGCTCCCGCTCGGGGCGGTGGTCGAGATTTCCCCGATCTGGCAGGAGACGGACTTCTTCGATTTGCATCGCCAGTTCCGCGCCATCGACACAGACGGCTCCGGAGAGATCGACGCGGCGGAGGTGGGGCAGCTGCTGCGGCGGGTCCTGGGCGAGGAGCCGAGCGAGGAGCAGGTTGCGGAGGTCCTCTCCGCCGCCGACAGAGACGGCAGCGGGACCATCGACTACGGCGAGTTTTGTGAGAGGGCCTTCTTTGAGGCGCGCCCGAGATTCGCCGAGATGGGGCCAGATGATGGGAGAGAGGCCCTGCTTTGATGCTCTGTGCGCTCACCGGGGCTGTTCACAGTTCAACACTGGAATTCTTTAGGCACGTCTGAGCGCGAGGCTGCACGAGCTGTCCGAGCGGGCGGCGGAGCGGCTGAGGGTGCTGCACGCGGGCGAGCCGTGGAAGGGTGCCCTCACCGCCGCGGAGGGCAGCTTTGCGGCCCTCGTCGGCGGCACTGGGCTGGAGGATGGCTGCGGGGAGGCGTCGGAGGGCGCGGCGGGGATGGGAGGGGATGGTTGAAAAAACCCGTGCGCGTGGTGGCGACCGCGTGAGATCGTGACCCCAAGGCGAGGATTCTTTTGATACAAAACCATAAGATGACACACCCACCAGGCCTGGTGCCACCAGCCACCAGGGGCAGGGCACCCCACTGATCACACTGTGTCCTCTCATTCTCGGTTGCTCCATGTGCCAGGGTAGGCTCCGCCCCAGTGTGATTCAATGGTTGGGTAGTAGGGCTAGAGGGTCGCTCTACACTTAGCCTCTGCAGCGAGCGAGCGCTCAACTTAGCCCCCGCACGGAGCCGGGCTCAGACTTAGACGCTGTATGGTCGGGGGCCATGAACTTAGACGACATAAGGCCAACTCCGGGTAAAACCCGGGTATACCTGCAAAAGTCCAGGTTTACCCGAAAAATACCTGGACGCGGTCCCGACTAGCGTATGCCGCGCACGACGCCATATCGCCGTCTCCCAGGGCCAGTGCGCTACTTGCGGCGCGCAACGCCTGCTCAAGTACGCGCACCCGTACCATGTGCTGCCGCTATGCGTGCCTTAAGGCGGCTGCGGCGAAGCGGCGGGCGCGGCATGCCGATGGCAGTGCGGACGATGCGGTTGCGATGTGTTCTGCTTCAAGATCGTGGCGGTGCTTGGCATGCACTTCTGCGATCCCAATCAGCTCATCGCAACGAAGCAGCGCAACAAGCTGGCTGCTGCCAACAAGGCCCTATGCTACCTCACGCGCGGATCGTTCAAAGAGGACCAGCATACACAGGCTTCTCTGACATGCGTTTGTTTGAGCTTGAGGCTATTTGTGAGAACTATTTGGCTAGATGTCGCCGAAGTGCGCTCAAGAAGCAGCAACGAGAATCGGAAGAGGAGGATGCTGAGGCGGCGATTGCTGAGCATGAGGAGGATCGATCGCCCGCCGCGCAGGCGAAGAAAATTTGGGCGCGAGCGCCGTATATCGCGTGCCATGGCCGACTTAGCCGGTGTAAGAGGCTCCCGCTGATCTTAGACCGCGTAAGCACTCCAGCGTGGCTAGCCACACTTAGACCCGTTAAGCCGCGAGGCTCAGAACTTAGACTACTACCCAACCAGTTGTGATTCGGACTGAGCGACGGCAGGACCCTTTGAAATCATGAATGGCGGCGTCCGGTGAGGCCCCCACGGCCGGGGGTGGTAAGTGGGTGATAGGAGGGCCATAAACGACCATCACATCGGCCACCGGACCCCTCCCCCCCCCCAAACACAGTCCAAACCGGCCCCGGCGGCCGGCGGGACGCACGCCGGCGCAACACCATCAAGCTGCTGTACGGCCCCGGCATCGCCTCCCCTGGCTTAGCTCTCAGTCAAGATATTGTGCACATGGGTGGCCTCTACAATATACTCACTGACACTGAACCTCCCAGAGCTCGTCCCGGTCCGCCACGGCCATCCTCGTCCTCCGCGGCGCCGGCTCCGGCCCCTCCGCCGCACTGTGATGAGCGTCGGCAGGACCCTTTGAAATCATAAATGGCGGCGTCTGGAGAGGCCCCCACGGCCGGGGGCGGTAAGTGGGTGATAGGAGGGTGATAAACGACCATCACACCGGCTACCGGACCCCTCCACCCCCCCAAACACAGTCCAAACCGTGCCGCTCGGCCTCTGAAAGGTTTGGGTGTACGCGTACGACTGGCCGCGCGTCTGCTTCGGGCACAGCTTCGACTTCTTGTCGTAGCCAAGCTTGTCGAGGAGCAGGTCCTTAGGGTAGTGCTTGTGCGCCGTCTTGACGTTCTGCGTTCATGACGGCAAAGAGGCCGATGTCGTACAGCGCGAGGATGCACGGGACAGAGCCAAACCAGCTGTCCGCAATCACCACTCGCCCCCGAGACGCGCACTTTTCCACCAGCCGCAGGGTGAGCGCGACGCTCCTCCACGGTCCGTCTGAGCCGAGCTTTTCCTTCTGCTCGGCGCACTTTGGCTTTGTCGCCATCGCCTTCTTCCCCTCCCACACCTCGAACCAGATGAGGATGCCGCAGATCGCGCAGCAAAGGGTGTGGAGCTCGAGTCCTTTGGGTGTCGGCTTGCGCTGCACCACCATGAAGCCGGGCATGCCACGTCCCAGCCACTTGACCATGCTCTCATCCAAGCACATGACCCAGCCGCACGTCACTGCCGCGAAGAAGGCGTCGCGCAGGGTATCCCAAAACTTGCGGGTCGCATTGAACGGGTCGCTGCTTGAACCGTAGGTTGGCAGCTCGAAGCACGCTTGCATCTGCTTGAACCAAAAGATTCCTCGCTGCGCGCCGGGGTGACCAATCCCAAGCCACGTCTTCAAGTCGTAGGTCGGGCCGAAGCCGTCGCTTGGCTCGTCAGCAAAGAACTGCTCGCCCCCCCACCGTGAAGAAGGCGAGCATGTACATCCAGCATCCGATCCACTGGAGCACGTCATTGGTGGTGACGAACCAGTTCTTGTAGTTGAGGTCGTTGCCCTCGGTCCACCGCGCCCGGCCGTTCGCCTGCATCTGCTCGGCGAGCTCGCCAATGTACTCCATCGGGAGGAAGTGCTTGGCGTAGTCGAGGAGCGACGACGCGGGGTTGAGCTGTTCCAGCCGCGGGCCAAAGTCGTCTCCACCCTCCCTGTCGCGCGCGCAGAACTGGCGGAGGTCGTTCTCCTTCCAGGCAGCGGTGTCGCCGTTCTCCTCGCCGTCGTCGTGCTCCTCGGCGAGCTCGCAGTCGCTGTCGTCGCTCTCCTCGAGGTCAGGAATGCGCGCGCCGTCAGGCTGCTCGTCGTCGTCGGGCTCACCCGCAGCAGCAGGTGCAGCCGCCGCAGGAGCCTCCGCAGCGGCTGGGGCGGCTCTGCCGCCGCGCCGATACGGCGGGAGGAGCTCGACACCGAGCTGGGGGCCGACCCGGTCGGTGTCGTCGTCGGCGGTTCCAAGCTCCGCTTGCACGACCGGCGGCGGCAACGTGCTTGGGCCAGCTGCACCTGGGGCCGGCGCCCGCTGGAACCTTCCGGTAGATGCTGCCGCGAGTAGTATCGCCGCCGGGCTCGGCGCCGCCGCGGCGGCAGCGGGCTTCTTTCCCTTTGCCTTTGCAGCCTTTGGGGGCATCTGACGCTCGACTCGACCGGTCGGTCACGGGCGCAGTCAAAGCTGTCACGGGTCAGCGAGTCAACGACATGGTGACGACACGATCGAAGGCGAAGCATGAAGCCCCGCAAGGCGCTGCCGCGCCTCAAGGCGCGCCTCTGCCGCACGCGCTCACATCATGCACCGCGCGCCGCCGAGCAGGACGTGCCGTCCGTTTCAGTCCATCGCCCCATTCGCCCGCCGACAACAGTTGAGCATGATCTCCGCCATTGCTCCGTTTCTTTTTTCACGCCTTCACGCGCGCGCAGGCGCCCCCGACTGTACTGAGCGCACCCCCCACCGTCCCCTGCCAGGCCCAAGCACGCCGCAGGCTCCGGTGAGGCCGCCTGGGGAGCGCAGGAGGTCTCCCCGCCTCCGCGACCCAGTGCACGATACGCCAGGCGTACACAAGTCCAAGAACAAGCCCCGGCCGCCGCGGTGGAGCTCCTACACCGACTCCGACGGTGACCACCACCCCTCCCCGGTCTTTTAGGGAGCGGGTCCGCTCCAGTCCAGGTCTGCCCTGTGTCTAGGGAGCTGTGGGCGGGGGCTAGGGGCCATTGCAGGCGCGGGGCGGGGACAGTTACTTCTCAAAGTAAGTAGTTACTTCAGGAAGTACAGGCCTTGTCAGGTTCTCGCTCATCCACCCACCCTCCTCGACCTTCCCGACGATACCAGCGGGCCCGCCTCCACCTAGAAGACTGGTGCTGGGGGGTGGGTGTTCCCTGCTTCCGGCTACTGCATATACCTGAGCTAGGGCCTGAGAGGCCTCGCTGGAGCCGAGGCATAGCGGCGTGATTTCGGACCTCCACCACCCTCGTCATGTCCCGGGCTGTGTGGCCTCAACCCTAGCCGGCCCGCTGTTCCTAGGGTTGCGCGAGCTGTCCGAAGCTGTCACAGCTAGGGTTGCAAGACCTCAAAAGCCGGCCATCCACCACCCGAAAATGGCCGCCCTCCCCTCCAGAGCGCCGCCACAGCCGTCGTGCAAAACGGCCCAACCACCGACACGACCGCCACCGTCCGGCGGCAAGGCATACGCTCTGAGGCCGTAGAATGGGTACGGCTGCATCTAGCTCTTTGCGCGGGTCAAGTGTACCTGGTCTCCCCTTGATGGTCCTAGGCGGGCTTCTTCACAGGAGTCGATCTTGGAGAGGGGCAGTGCTCACTCTGCACTCTCTGGTCGGCCTGCTGTATCGACCCGTCGTGGCTTCACATCTACCTCGTGCCAGCGGCTCTCCTCGGCACCAGAGCGCTCCATCGAACGCCAGAGCCTGTCCTGGGGCGGGTCCCCACGCCCTTACAATCATACGCATAAAAAAAACCGGACTCAATCGATTGTACTGCGGTGGTGTGAGTGAATGCACCATGAGCAAAAACCTGACTTGGCCTGCGTTCAACGCGACCCGAGGGCATCTCCCACACTGCCGCACGCTAGCTACACTCACGATCCCCACAGGACATTCGGTTACTCCAGCGGGCCGGGACGGGTGTCCCCCGTCGGGAACTGCCTGCCCTGTCATCAAGAGCGCTATTTAAAAGGTGATCAGCGCTGTGGCACCTTCTTTCCGTTGCCTCACCAGCTCTTTCGTGCCGTCCCCGCACGGCAGGGCTTCGCGTGGAAAATCACATCCTCGCGATTCTCGGGCTTTGGCTGCCAGCGGATGTGGCTGGCGCAAATACACTCCGAATTACCGCATATGTGAGTAGCCTCGTGGTCTTTGCTCGGCGGAGGCCCGTGGACAGCCGCACATATCCAGCGGTGCAGTCGGACTATGCGAAGGCGGCCTGACCCTGTGCGCGGCCAAGTCAAGTCTTTCCGCGTCTTCTTCATGCCTGACGGCGGGTGGGTGCGCCGTCCTTGCACGCGTATGTAGGAGCGCTTGCCGTACCGCTCCTTGCTCTTCCAGACAACAAAGGATCCTGCAGCTTTGGCCGCATCTGGGATCACACACGAGTCGGTGAGGCGCGTGCCGCCCTTGATCGAGTCGAGGCTCATCGCCCGATCCAGCAGAGCGCCGCCCCCGGTGACCCAGCCGAGCACCGCACGGAGGGTGTCTGCGGCGGGAAAGCCTTTGGCATCGAGCAGGCGTACGCGGCGTGCGCCGCGTGCCATCTACACGGTGTTTAAAAGCGGCGATCGCGGATATTCGAAGCTCGTTTTCTTTTTCTCGCTACGGCGTGTCACTGGTGACGAACCCCTGCTCCTTGGTGCTCTCGATGGCTGCGAAGCGGCGGCGGCTCGACATGGAGTCTCTGGCGCTCGAAGAGAGCGTTCAAAAGCGCATTGCTGCGTCGTATCTGATCAACTTTCGAGAGTACAGTCCGGCCGAAGCCGCCGCGGCCACCGGCTACACGCGAGCATCAGATGCAGCACTTTGGGCAAAGCGCCTGCGCTCTGCGTGCACGCCATACAAGCAATGGGGTAAGAGGCGCGGCCCTGCGCCCATCATGACCGAGCAGGACGCGGATGCGCTGGGCGAGGCGCTCTATGACGATCCAATGGGCACGGGCGTCGGCCGCGTGGCGTCCACTCTCAACATGCCTGACGTGAGCACGTCCACTTTATACCGCGGGCTGATTGCGCACGATTGGCGCGTTCAGCCGCCCGTGGGCGACCTTGGGCTGGAGAATGACGCGCCAAGAAGGCAGATACGTCTCGAATTCTGCAAGAGGGCCGCTCGACGCTCGCTTCACGTGAAGGGAACCTTCTCCGACTCAAAGTACTTTGGTGGCGGCGGCTCTTTTGTGCCAAATCCCTACGGCAAGAAGTGGGCGCGAGACGGCAAGCCCCGGTGCATAGATCTACGCAAAGCGTCCTTCAAACAGCACGTGTACGCCGCCATCACGCCGTACGGCGCGTCCGACATCTACTTTGCTACCGGGACTACCGGCATCGCGCACGGCTACTTGAAGGAGCGCAACGTGAAGAAGTCCGCGCTGAAGGCGGCCGCCCAGGCACTTGGCCTCGACGTGTCGGGAACAAAGGCCTCGATCATGGAGCGCCTCTTGCAGCATGCGGGCGGCGATCCGGACAACCCCAGCCTCGTCGCCCATCTGGGCTCACGCCCCATCCGGCCGGGCGTCGGAAACGAGGAATATGTGGATATTTTGCTTGGCCACGGACCGTACAGTGGCCAGAAGGGGCTCCTGCGGGATTGCCAGGATAGATTTGCGGGGACTCGGTACGCAGACAGCTGGTGGTGGCAGCAGGATGGCGCGAGCGTGCACACGCAAGGCCACACCGCGAGGGGCGAGGCGACGGCCGAGGCGATCAAGTCGGTGGCGCCGAACCAAACCACGGACTGGCCGTCACGGTCGCCTGATTTGTCGTTGATTGAAAGCACTTGGGCATACGCCGAGCGGCTGCTGTGGACCGATTACAGAGACCAGTGGACCGACGCGGCTTCGATGCGCGAGGCGCTGAAGAAGCTCTGGCGTGAGCGCATCACGCCAGAGTACTGTAAGAACTTGTTCGGCTCGTGGGAGGGGCGGCGGCGGGGGTGTATCGAGGTGGGCGGCGGGAAAGTGAAGGGGCGTTAGTGTGATTCACGCATGCTCTCATGACAGCTGTAAAAATTCCGCCTCCCATGGTATGCGACAGCAAGAGCGATGTGTGTTCTGCCGCCTCACCAGTGACCGAGCGGGGGGCCGAGGGGCGGAGAGCTCAAGGTGGCGACGGAGCGCCGACGGCGGCGATGGTTGCGCTTTCGGATCAAAGCTGCGGCATGTGTGCTGGAGAGGGGGCGCCTCCCGTCCACCGGGTGCGATCCGGGTCGGCTATCGACTCGCTCTTGCGTCGCGGCGCTTTGCTACGGTGCTTGGCGGGAGTCAGGGTGCGACGCCGAGCCCTCTCGCTCTGAGCGTCGAGGATCGGAGTCAAGCCTGACGGTTCACGCTCTCTCCTCCCGCACAGAGTTCGCATTTACGGCCGTGGCGCCGCTACTACCCACCATGACGACGGTGGGGTCGGGGGTGGCGATCGGTAGTCCGGCCATCTCGAGTGCTGGTGGCGGCCGATCCGGTCTCGAGGGGCCGAGAGCTCAAGGTGGCGACGGAGCGCCGACGGCGGCGATGCGCTTTCGGATCAAAGCTGCGGCATGTGTGTTGGAGAAGGGGCGCCTCCCGTCCACCGGGTGCGATCCGGGTCGGCTATCGACTCGCTCTTGCGTCGCGGCGCTTTGCTACGGTGCTTGGCGGGAGTCAGGGTGCGACGCCGAGCCCTCTCGCTCTGACCGTCGAGGATCGGAGTCAAGCCTGACGGTTCACGCTCTCTCCTCCTTCACAGAGTTCGCATTCACGGCCGTGGCGCCGCTACTACCCACCATGACGACGGTGGGGTCGGGGGTGGCGATCGGTAGTCCGGCGATCTCGAGTGCTGGTGGCAGCCGATCCGGGCTCGAGCGGGGCGGAGAGCTCAAGGTGGCGACGGAGCGCCGACGGCGGCGATGCGCTTTCGGATCAAAGCTGCGGCATGTGTGCTGGAGAGGGGGCGCCTCCCGTCCACCGGGTGCGATCCGGGTCGGCTATCGACTCGCTCTTGCGTCACGGCTCTGTTGCTACGGTGCTTGGCGGGAGTCAGGGTGTGGGACGCCGAGCCCTCTCGCTCTGAGCGTCGAGGCTCGGAGTCAAGACTGACGGTTCACGCTCTCTCCGCCCGCGCAGTGTTCGCATTCACGGCCGTGGCGCCGCTACTACCCACCATGACGACGGTGGGGTCGGGGGTGGCGATCGGTAGTCCGGCGATCTCGAGTGCTGGTGGCGGCCGATCCGGGCTCGAGCGGGGCCGAGAGCTCAAGGTGGCGACGGAGCGCCGACGGCGGCGATGCGCTTTCGGATCAAAGCTGCGGCATGTGTGCTGGAGAGGGGGCGCCTCCCGTCCACCGGGTGCGATCCGGGTCGGCTATCGACTCGCTCTTGCGTCACGGCTCTGTTGCTACGGTGCTTGGCGGGAGTCAGGGTGCGACGCCGAGCCCTCTCGCTCTGACCGTCGAGGCTCGGAGTGAAGACTGAGGATTTACGCTCTCTCCTCCCGCGCAGTGTTCGCATTCACGGCCGTGGCGCTGCCACTACCCACCATGACGACGGCGGGGTCGGGGGTGGCGATCGGTAGTCCGGCCATCTCGAGTGCTGGTGGCGGCCGATCCGGGCTCGAGCGGGGCCGAGAGCTCAAGGTGGCGACGGAGCGCCGACGGCGGCGATGCGCTTTCGGATCAAAGCTGCGGCATGTGTGCTGGAGAGGGGGCGCCTCCCGTCCACCGGGTGCGATCCGGGTCGGCTGTCGACTCGCTCTTGCGTCACGGCTCTGTTGTCACGGTGCTTCCCTGGAGTCAGGTTGGACGGCCACTCTCGCGGCACCCTTGCACATGGGCGGCTCCGCTCAGCCCGGGAGAGACGTGCCCCAATCGGCATGCGCGTATTATTCGCACGCCATACGCTACATCCACCGCCACCGGATCGAGCGGCTGCTTCCACACGCCCTGGAAAGCTCACCTTACGTCCGGCTGCAAAGCTGCCGTTTTCAGTGCGATGACAAGTGGCCGCCACTCTAGATAGGATCTTGCTCTCCCTGCTCACGAGCTTCTCTTCACTGCGCCACTCTTGGCATGTGGCAAGCACCCGCCCCGGTGGTGCCCCTGGGAGGAAGAAGAAACCGAGACGACTCATGGCCTGCCGCTGCGAGACCGTTTCTGAAAGTGAAACGCAGGCCTTGTCAGGTTCTCGCTCATCCACCCACCCTCCTCGACCTTCCCGACGATACCAGCGGGCCCGCCTCCACCTAGAAGACTGGTGCTGGGGGGTGGGTGTTCCCTGCTTCCGGCTACTGCATATACCTGAGCTAGGGCCTGAGAGGCCTCGCTGGAGCCGAGGCATAGCGGCGTGATTTCGGACCTCCACCACCCTCGTCATGTCCCGGGCTGTGTGGCCTCAACCCTAGCCGGCCCGCTGTTCCTAGGGTTGCGCGAGCTGTCCGAAGCTGTCACAGCTAGGGTTGCAAGACCTCAAAAGCCGGCCATCCACCACCCGAAAATGGCCGCCCTCCCCTCCAGAGCGCCGCCACAGCCGTCGTGCAAAACGGCCCAACCACCGACACGACCGCCACCGTCCGGCGGCAAGGCATACGCTCTGAGGCCGTAGAATGGGTACGGCTGCATCTAGCTCTTTGCGCGGGTCAAGTGTACCTGGTCTCCCCTTGATGGTCCTAGGCGGGCTTCTTCACAGGAGTCGATCTTGGAGAGGGGCAGTGCTCACTCTGCACTCTCTGGTCGGCCTGCTGTATCGACCCGTCGTGGCTTCACATCTACCTCGTGCCAGCGGCTCTCCTCGGCACCAGAGCGCTCCATCGAACGCCAGAGCCTGTCCTGGGGCGGGTCCCCACGCCCTTACAATCATACGCATAAAAAAAACCGGACTCAATCGATTGTACTGCGGTGGTGTGAGTGAATGCACCATGAGCAAAAACCTGACTTGGCCTGTAACTCCTTCAGATAGACACCAACACTCCAGAGGGCTGGGATTCGGCGGAGTGAGGTGGGTCATCGCCGACCGAGCGCCTGGTCGTGCGGATCTTCCCAACACTAGATCTAGGGCTGGGATTCGGCGTGAGTGGCAGGTGGGTCATCGCCGACCGAGCGCCTGGTCGTGCGGTTCAGCCCCAAAGAGCTCTACGATGAAGTTCGGGGCCACGCTCAAGGCGCTCGCCGCGAGTGACGCCAACGCTCGAGGCGCCTTCGACTACAAAGGCCTGAAGAAGCGTATCAAGCGGCTCCGCCTCGAGGAGGACGCCGCGGCGCGGCAGGCCGCACTGCGGGAGATGCATGGCGTCATCGTGGCCGAGGTCTCGCGCGTCAACCAGGAGCTCTCACACCGGCGGGCAAACCTCGACTGGGTCGGGGGGGGCGTCCTTCCGCTCGAGTCCTCGCCCGGCGCGCAGGCCCTCCGCGAGTTTGCAGAGCTCAACGCGACGGCGGTGCGCAAGGGCGTCAAGAAGTTGGACAAGGCGCTCACGGACGCGGAGCGGCTCGAGGTGCTCGGCTGGCGCGACTCGAGGCCGGTTCGCATCGCCGATCCGATGGACGTTTCGCGGTCGGGCGCGACGGTCGGCGGGCTCGTCCGCGTGCTGCAGGACAGCGAGGCGCGAGCGCGGATGCCGCTCGAGGAGCTGGGGCGCGGCGCCTTTGCGACCGTGCACGCCCTCGCGCCGGGCGTCAAGCTGCACCACAGCGGGAGCTGGGCCGGCGGGGTGGACGCCGAGAAGGGCGGCGCCGGCCCCTCGGTGGCGATCAAGCACGGTCACTGGAGCTCGCAAGCAGCCTTTGAGAGGGAGGTGGCGCTGCAGCGGGCGGCGGCCGGGGCGGGCGTGGCGCCGTGCGTCTACTTTTCGCGGTGGCTGGGCGGGCCGCTGGGCAAGAACGGGGTCGTGGGGATGGCGAGGCTCACCTCGCCCTCCTTCTTCCGCTGGCTCTGCTGGGAGACGAGGGAGCTCGCGTCTGCAAAGGCGCGCGGCGGGTGGCTCATCCACCCGTCCCTCAGCAAGCAGCCGATCGTCTGCACGTGGCGGGCGGAGGCGAGCCCCCGCCCCCTCTCCGACCCCTTCCCCCCCGCCTCCTCCCAACACGATTTCTCCGTGCTGACGTACAACGTGTGCTGGGAATGTGTGAGCGGCCCTGCTTCCGACCCGTGCCTCGTTGCGCCCTCCCCGCGCTTAGGCGCGGCGCCTCTTGGCGGTGCTGCGGTCGCTCAACATCGCGCACCGAGACGGGCACGAGATGAACCTGATGTTTCACGTGCTGGATGTCAACCACTACGAGCCTCCCACCGCAGACTCCTCCGCCGCCGAGGTGGCCGCCGCCCAGGAGGCCAAGGCGCGCATCCTCACTGCGATCCGCAAGGGGCCGGGCGCGGCACACGCGCGGCTCTTTGTCATCGACTTTGGGCGCGCAAAGACGGTCCGAGGGCGGCTCGGCTGGGCGATCGAGTACTTGGTGAGCGGCCGACGGCTGCCCGACCCGGAGCAGCACCGGCAGACCCCGATGCGCGCGCGCCAAACCGGGGAGCAGGGGAAGGGCAGGGGGGGCGTTTGAGCTGGGCTCTGCATCGTTGTCTGCTCCCTGAGCTGAACGAGCATGCGCATGTGACGGTGTCGCTCGCGGCCTCTGTGTGTCTCGTTGAAACACATACCTCTGCAGCGGCTCTCTCTGGCTCCGCGCACCTGCGTAGAGCTAAAGCCGTAGAGACATATGGACGTCGACCTGGCGCCTCGCGTGCGTCGGGCCTCGCACACACACGTCGTCTGCCCTCTCTCTCCGCCCCCCCGCGCACCGGCGGTTGGCCAAAGAGGCAAAGTACTAGTATACAGGGGGGGGGCCGTTTCCGCGATCGCGATCGGGGCCCGACCCCAGACTGAGCCGCAAAAAGCACAAAAACAAAAAGATCAGCAATTGAGCAATTTTCGACACTCGAGGGCGCGCGAGGGGCGGCCGCAAATTTTGAGGTAGATTTTGTGATTGTCAAACCAACGCGTGTGTTAAGTCTCGTGTGTTGCCACATGATAGAGAGCATAACCGTACAGAGCTACAGACGGCGAACACCCAACACACACCGACACACGACATCCCACCACTCCAACCCACCACTCAACACAGGACGCGTTCACCTCCCCACACACGGCTTTGGGCTTACCACGCGTGTTAAGAGCAAAAAGAGGATAGAGGTGGCTCTGGCGCTCTGAGGCGGCATTTGGCCTTGGGGTCAGCGTGCGGGGGGCTGAGTCTTACTCGTCGGCGCTCGGGCCAGATCCCAGCGCAGAACTCTGCAACACTTGGTACAGACACAACAAGACTAACCCTAACCCTAACCCTAACCCCAACACCCTAACCCTAACCCTACTACCCCGCCCATAAAGCATAAACCCAACCCCCACCTCCCACTCCACTAAAAGAGGGACCCCCGTGCCGCTGCAACCCTGCATGCTGCAATCTCTTAAATGGCAATTTAAGCCCCCAAAACTCCTCATTTCTTAAAATGCAACCCCAGCTGCAGGCGGTATACTCCTATAGCTATACACGATGTACCCATCCTCGTATCGGCCCGATTTTTAACTTAGTTTAACTATCGCGTTCAGTACTTGCGCCTCCTCAGAACCGCCTAGGGGTACCCTAAGCCCAGCTCCTCCTTGAGCTCCACCAACTTCATCGCCACCAGATCCTTTTGGACCTTTTCGCATCGCCGCCGCCGCAAAAACCTCCGGGCTCAGCCTCGTGCTCAGCAGTGCCCGCACGCCCGCGGCTGCGACGGTGAATTCATGAGAAATTGCTACGACTCTCTGGCGACAACGCTACCTCCTCGTGAGACATTCAACATTCACAAGCGCACCGGCGAAGCCTGCAGTGCATTTGAGAAATGCAAAAGCCGAGACGACCAAAGTGGAAAAATCGCACTCTCCCCTGACCCTCGATCAAAAGCGTAAAAGCACCCGAGGCTCCATCCAGAAGGCGGGGTTGCTCGGGTCGGGGTGGGGTGTGGGGTGGGCGCCGGAGTGGGAGTCGTGTGAGACTACTCTATGGTGGGGGCAGCCGTCGCCCACGCATACGCGAATTCTTTCGCGGGGGACCACAAATTCTTCTTTCGAAAGGCACGGCGCTTGTCGAAAGGCCGGGGGGGCGTTCACCTCGACAATATTCAGACAAGCTCTCGACAATGAGTTCGCCTGCAACAAACGCGTGCAACACAACCTGTACGGTTCAGGCGACGTGCGGTGAGCTGAACACCGTCGGTCTTCTCTACTGCGGGGACGTCGATAAAATGTGCCCGGGCGCGTGCACCGGATGCTGTACCGCCCAGCCTCCATCTGCACCGCCTTCACTGCCTCCGCCCTCGCCGCCCGATGCACCGCCACCGCCACCGCCACTCTCTCCTCCACCGCCACCGGCGCTGCCGCCTCCGCCTTTGCCGCCACCGCCAACGCCACCGCCGTCTCCGCCGCCGCCGCTCTCGCCTCCACCGCCGCCTCTGCCGCCGCCACCTTTGCCGCCGCCACCACCGTCGCGGCCGCCATCGATGCCGCCGCCACCGCCGCCCTCTATGCCGCCGCCGCCCTCTCCGCCGCCGTCTTCCCCGCCCTCTCCGCTGCCGCCCTCGCCGCCACCATCGTCGCCGCCCTCGCCCCCGCCACTTCTGGTGTACCACGGGATCGACGCGGTGGACGAGGTCATCGACGTCCTGACAAGCTCCAACAGCACGGGCGTCGCGGGCGACGGAATGCACCCGGCGACACCTGCCGCCTTCCTCGCGCTCATGGCCTTGGCGCTCTTCGCCTGCTGCCTCCGCTACTGCCGCCGCCCTCGCTCGATCGAGAGGCAGACGATGATTGGACGCGCCGCCGCCCGCTCCGACGGGCGACCCCGCCGGGCGACCCCGCCACGCAGGGCTCACCGGCTCGCCGGCAGTGGCACCGGATCCGGCAGCAGCAAGCAACTCTTCGACACTGCCTTCGAAAGCGCTCTGCGCAGCGGCGGCTTGGGCGGGTGGCCAAAGCCTCTCCGCATCGCTCAGGGGCAGCACCAGCTGCAGGAACAGCTGCAGGACCGCGGCTCGTTCGATTCCTTTGGCGAAGACGGCGGCGGCGACGAGACGCCGCGCACCGGCGGCGGCGCGTTCGATTCCGCAGCCCCGCACGCCGCCGGCGCCGGTGCGGCTCTCCGCCCCGAGCACCGCTCCGGCGGCCGGAGGCGGGGCGGGGCGGACGATCACGCGCTCATCGAGATCTCGCCGTACGACAACACGTCGGGCGTGGGTGTGCATCGGAGCGACAGCGTCGAGAGCCGCCTCAGCGACGAGGCGTCATCCTCCGTCTGCCCCCACCGTCATTACTCATTGTCATTTCCATGTACCATGATATTATGTGGTGATGATTAGGCGTCCACCGTCTGCTCTGCCTGCCCGCTGACGGCGAGCGGCGCTTCCGCCGCGGGCAGCAGCGCGTCCTCGAGGTCGACGCGGAGAGCGTTTGCGGGCAGCGCGGCGCTCGAGATCGACACGGAGAGCTTCACCCTCGAGTCTTGGCTGGTGGAGTGACTTGCACCAGGTGCAGGTCTCCAGCTGCAACCGTGAACCGACGCGCGACTTGAAGCTTTGCTTGTACTCGCGGGCCATCGAGCGCGTGCCTGATCCCGACAGAGGAGAGTGCGCGAGAAGTAGAGTAATGTCCGCTCAGTATCGCGCCACCGTCCGTTTGGCGGTAGCCCGGTAGGTTGGCCACACACAGCAGTGCGTGTGCGAGAGGCTGCGAGCCCGGAGGGTTGAGGGATTCGCGCCCCGCGGTGGAAGCCGGAACGTTCTGCGGGCGGGTTTTCATTTGCGTGAGGCGCGCCGTGTGTGGTGCCAACCCGATATGTACCAGTGCCAATACCAACTAACAACCCACTGGGCACTTCTCACATCTCAGATGCGAGAGGCCGAGACCGAGAGCTTTCAGGTCTTGTACGCTCTGCAAAACCGGCTCGTGGATATATGACTGGTTTTGTCCGCGGGCGCGAGGGCACTGCGGAGGCGGGCGGCGGCGGCGGAGGCGGCTGCAGCAGCACACGGGCCGCGGCGGCGGCGCGCGGACGGTGGCGGCGGCGCGCGGACGGCGGCGGCGACGCGGCGGCACTGCTCCTCTGCTGCTGATGATGACAATGATGCTGCTCCTGCTGCCCCTCCCGCCCGCCAGCTGCCCGCACGCTCGGTGTCATCTCTTCACCTGCACACTGGTCGAGTCATAGGTGCGAGGGGCGTGTGGCATGTCTCGCGAGTCTCGCCAGGGGCGCCTACCAACCTCGCTTGCGAGGGGCGTGTGGCATGTCTTGCGAGTCTCGCGAGGGGCGGGTGGGGTAATTACTTATTAATTAATTAATTATTAATTAATAATCATATAATCATCGGGCGGCGGCGCGGCGCGGCGGCGGGCGGCGCGGAGCGGGGCGGCGAGACCATCTGTGCTGACCGGGGCCTCTGCCCTTTGACGCAGCACAATGGTCGCGCCGCCCTCGACTCAAGGGGCTGCCTTCCACACGTCGCTGCTCAGGCCGGGGGAGGGGGGGAGACCTCCTGTTCCTCGCGGAACGGAAGCAGGCCCCTCCTTGCCCGGTCTGCGATGCAGGGCGGTGGTCGTGCCATCTTCGCGTCGTACTCGAAACCACCACGCCGCAACCGTTGCCGGCGCGCGACACGTTCCCGTAGGCCGGACTGTCCTCGTCGAGAGTGTGTGCCGCCAAGGCGGGACGCACTCAGGGGCAGTGCCGACGGGACGCGGCTCGAAGGGTGTGGCTCCGCAGCGCGGCTGGCACTCGTCGCAGAGGCCTCACCTTCAAAAAGTCGGGCATGGCTCTCCCCGCAACTTTCTCGCTAACACGCGCGCACCGCCGAGACTGGGGCGGGCGCGCTGCGGCCGCACGTCTAACTTCGTCATAGTGCCACGACGTGCGGCCTAGATTTAGCCCACGCGCCTCTGCTCGCAAACACTCACCCTTTGAATCGTCACTGTCCGTGAGTGCGAGATAGGGCTAGCAGTAGGCAGCTAGCCTCTGAGGAGGGCGTCCATAGACACCTCACTAGACCCCACACACGGTCTCGTCCGTGCCTCGCCGGACGGCGAGATTGCTAGAGGTGGAGCAAGCTGCTCTAGCCTCGCATGTTACTCCTGTCGTCTGTTGTGATGTTGTGCCCTGGTTTGTTTCTCTTGGCACCTTGGAGTGCTGGGGGGGGGCGACAGTGAGGACGTGGCCCTGAGTTATGTGTACGCCAACTCAGGGTGTGTGGCAGCCCGCTGGCTGTGTGTCTTGTGAGCCTGTTTGTGTCTGTGTGTCGCTCGTGCGTGCCGTCATCATCTGTCCAGCGTCCACCCATACCGCGTTGGTGTCCAGTCCGAGCCTGGCTGTTCTTCACCTTCCTACATACATACATACCAGCGCTGCTACTCCTCCCCCCAGCGGCGGCGCGGCCCGTCCCGGAAGAGGCGGAGCCGCCCGGCGGCGTGGCGCACGCGGCCGGCGGGGGCTTGGCGCGCGAGGCTGCGCCGGCAGCGAGTGGGGCGGCGGCCGGCGGGCAAAGGCCGAGAAGGGCCGGGCTCACCGCACTGGCCGCCCCGCGTCCCCGCGCGCGCTCCTGCCGCTTCAGCTGACGCGGTGGCGCTCGCCCGCGGTGCCGCCGCGGTGCGGTGCCGTCGCGATGCGCGACGGGCGTATGTATGTATGTAGGAAGGTGAAGAACAGCCAGGCTCGGACTGGACACCAACGCGTTATGGGTGGACGCTGGACAGATGATGACGGCACGCACGAGCGACACACAGACACAAACAGGCTCACAAGACACGGGCGGGCTTGTCTGAAAAAGAAGCGAACTTGGTTTCCCGGCGGCGCGAGGGCGAGCTGCTCGCCTGCAGCGCGCTCGACGACCGAATTCCACTGCCACATGTCCTTTCTCACCATTCTCGGCACCGCTGCCGTCGTTTCGGCCGCGATCTTCATGGAGCTCATCGCGTGCCTCGCCTTCCCAGTCGAGTCGGGAACCGAGTGGCTGCTCCTCCTGCTCCTCGTCCCGCTTGTCCTTGCGGCCATTCCCCTGCTGCTGCTGCGCGCGTGTGCCGGCGACAGCCTGTTCTCAGACACGCCAAAGGGCCGTCACTGGGCGGAGTTTGGCTTCGCCTTTTTTGCGACCGGCATCATCGGGGTGCCATCGCTGCTGCTACTTCGAGGACTGATTCGGTGCCGCGAAACCACTCCCGACCCCCCACCCTCGATGAGTCCAGTGAAGATCCTCGATGACTGTGGATTGCCGCAGGTGGGAGGCCTTCGCCCTCGCCCTCGGCGGCCTCGCCCTGCCCGCCATCACTGCCGCCCTTTCCAGGGTGTGCCAGCGCGCCGACTCCGACCCCTTCAGCTATCGGTAGCCAGGGACCCCCTGTCCACCACTTCTGAGCGCGCCTCGGCCGTCCGTGGCCGGCGCGGCGAGTGCTGCGTCCCTGCTAAGTAGATTGAGCTAAGTAGATTTCATCTCTCGAGCGCCAGCAAAGCTGCCAGTCCTGTGCGTCCCATGGGCGTGGGCGCAGCGGCTCGCACTCCGCACGCTGCAGACTCCACGTTGGCAGCAGCACCTCCTCGGGATAGAGCAGCGGCCTCGTCCAAGCTTGCAGCATGAGCGTGAGCTTGCGCTGAGCAGGTGGGGGGAGGACGCGGCTTCGGCTGTCAAGGCGCGGCGAGAAGAGTAAAGCCACGTAGTCTGCGGGTTGGTCCATGTGGGAGTGGAGCTCTTGAGGTGGCTCCGCCTCGAGGTGGTCCATTGGAGGTGGGCAGCGGCAAATTTGTCAAAGTGGCCGATGAAGGCTCGCAAGACCGACAGTGGATAAAACTTAAAAGCTTCCCTCGTGGTAAGCAAATCCGTGTCGCGCCCACGGTCGACGTGCTCACCCACGTGCACCGCGGACCGGGCCAACGCTTGCACTTTGAATGCCGTGGGGCTCCTGCCCGTGTCCGGGCGTGGAGATGCGCGAGGGTCGCCCCCCCTTGCCCCACCACTTTGTGTGTGTGGAGAAATCTACCTTACCTTACCTTACCTCGACGTGCGGCGAAATCGTCTGGCAGAGAATGGAACGCTGCGCACCTTGCCCAGGCTAAGTGAGAATCAAGCGCGTGCCGTGTGCGCCCCCCCCCCCCCCCCCGGTGGGCGTGGAGGAAAACGGCGTCGCTAAATACCGCGTCGTGAGCGCGGAGAGATGTAATCGAAAATGTTGAAATCTAACCACGAGAACGCGGACAAAGAGGAACGTCGCGCACACCGCGCCTCTGAGAGACCGGGGATCGGTTCCGAGTGTGGACTGGAGTGACACGAGTCCCACAGAGAGCACAGAGTTCTGAGCGCGCGTTTTTTGCGGCGGCACAGAGAGTGCAGATTCCAGATATGTGAGACGACTGCAATCTGCATGTGTTGTGCTTCACCCAGTTCACTGTGCTCACCTGATACAACCCCCTAGTCACAGGCGAGGCGTATCAATTTTTTTTGCGCACGTGCCCAAGCAAGATCGCCGTGAGGCGGTGAGGCCGGATGTGCTACGCTGCCTCCTTCGACGCGCTGCCGCCGTCGCCGCTACGCGTGCTGCTCATCGACAACTTCGACAGCTATACTCAAAATCTCTACCACGCCCTCGCACAGAGCGGCTGCGAGGTGAGCGCGGCTGCCACCGACCCTGCTCTTGCCGCGGCCAGCGTCTGACTCGCCTCCGCCTCCGCCTCTGCAGGTGCTAGTCGTGAAGAACAATCAGTTCGCCAGCTGGGACGCGCTCTGCTCAGCGCTCCCGCCCTTTGCAGCAGTGGTCATATCTCCGGGGCCAGGTAGTCCAGCGAATGCTGCCGACTTTGGCGTCTGCAGCGAGGCCTACGATGCAGGCCTGCCACTCTTCGGCGTGTGCCTCGGCCACCAGGGCCTGGCGCTGTCGGTGGGCGCGACGGTCGGTCTTGCTTCGGAGCCGATGCACGGCCGGCTCTCCGACGTCACCCACGCCGGCTGCGAGCTCTTTGCGGGCCTGCCGCGCTCCTTTCGCGCCGTGCGGTACCACTCGCTTGTCGTCGAGGCGGCGTCGGTGCCGAGCTGCCTCGAGGTAACCGCGTGGACGGCGTCGGGCGAGGTGATGGCCCTCCGGCACCGCTCGCTGCCACAGTACGGCGTCCAGGTGCATTGCTCGACCCGCCCCGCTCCTGCCCCGGCCCTGCTGCCGCCCTGCCGCCCTGCTCCTGCTCCGACTCGTGCCGCCCTGCCGCCGCCTCGCCCGCCCCCGCCTCACCACGTGCCCCCGCCCGCCTCGCGCCCCCAGTTCCACCCCGAGAGCATCTGCACCGAGTACGGAGAGGCGCTCGTCGCCAACTTTGCGCGGCTCGCCGCGAGGAGCGCGGCTCGGAGGGCGCCGATGGCCTCTCCGCGCCTCACGCCGCCCCTCTCGCCGGCGAGCCTCTCGCCGGACAGCCTCTCGCCCAGCAGGGCTGGCACGCCGGACGCCTCGGACGCGCCTCCGGTGCCGCGGCGCCTCGGCGCGCCCCCGCCCGCCGCTCGCCGGCTGCTCGTCTCCGAGGTGGGCGGCGGCCGTTTCCTCGACTCTGCCGCCGTGTTTGAGGCGCTCTTCGGCGCGTTGCCCGTCGCCTACTGGCTCGACTCGAGCTGCTGCTCCTCCTCGGGCGACACGCCGACGGGCGAGCCTGCGCGCGCGCGCTACTCCTACATGGGTGCGTTCGGCGGGCCGCACTCGTCGCTGCTGCGGTGCGGCGCGGGAGGCGGTATCTCGCTCGTGGGGCGCGACGGGGCGGACGAGTCCCTTTCGGGCGGGAGCCTGCTGCAGGCGATGCGGGAGCGGCTCGTGCCGTGGGAAGGCGCAGAGTCGGTCCGCTGGGACGCGGCGCGCGGCGCGCCGGTTGAGGGTCCGGAGGGGCGAGGAGGGGCGGCGCAGGAGCTGCCGCCCTTCCGAGGGGGCTGGGTGGGCTTCTTCAGCTACGAGGCGTGGCGGAGGGTGGGTCCGGAGGGGGCGGCGGCAGCGCGGGACTGCGAGCCGTCCTGCTCAGCCGCGACGCCCGAGGCGCCTCGCTCCCTGTGCACGCCCTCCCCTCCCCTTGCCTGCCCGCCCCCGCCTGGACACGCCGCCGCCCCGCATCCTCCTCGCCGCAGGCGCTCTGGCTCTTCTCGGACCGCTACCTCGCCTTCGACCACGCCGCACGGCGCGTGGTCGCAGTCTGCCTCTGCGACCCCGGCAGGGAGGGGAAAGAGCAGAGCGCGCAGCAGTGGCTGTGGGAGACGGCCGCTGCGCTGCAGCAGCGAGGCCTGTCCGAGAGCGACGCGGCGGGAGGCGGAGCGACGGCGCGACTGCCGCCGGGGGGGGCGGCGGCGGCGTGTCAACCGTTGCACGGGGGGGCGGCGGCTGGCTTCGAGAGCGCGCGTAGCCGCGATGAGTACACGGCGAACATCGAGCGCATCTTCGAGTTGTTGCGCGAGGGTGAGGGCAGGGCGTGTGTGCGAGGGGGCCCAGGGGTGGGCACCACCCCCCCGACAACCCTGCCCACCTCTAGGCGAGTCGTACGAGGTCTGCCTGACGACCCAGTTCCGCGCGCCTCCGCCTCGCGCCGCGCCTCCGCCCTCCCCGCTCGCGCTGCACCTCGCCCTGCGCCGCGTCAACCCGGCGCCGTACGCCGCCTTCTTGCACTTCGACCTGCCGGCCCTCCGACCCGCCCCCCCCGCCGAGGGTGGCGAGCGGGAGGCCGCCGCGGGGGGCGCCTTCAGCGTCTGCTGCTCCTCCCCCGAGCGTTTCTTGCGCATCGGCGCCGACGGCTCCGTCGAGTCGAAGCCGATCAAAGGCTCACGACGTGACGCGCGGGCGTGCCCAGCCCGCCGGCGCGCGCAGAGCTCGAGCCCCTGCGTCTCTAGGGACGATGCCTCGAGGGCCGACGGCCGAGCTCGACGCCGCCAATGCCGAGACCCTGCGCACTTCGCCGAAGGCGCGTTCGCCCACACGCGCGCCCGGTTGGTCTCGCGGCGCCGGTGCTCCATCCCTCGCCCCTCGCTTCCCTTCAGGACCGCGCCGAGAACCTGATGATCGTCGACCTCGTGCGAAACGACCTCGGCCGCATCTGCAGGGTCGGCTCGGTCCGCGTGCCAAAGCTGATGGCCATCGAAACCTACGCGAGCGTCCACCAGCTGGTGTCGACCGTGACGGGCGATCTGGAGGACGGGACAGATGCGCTCGACGCCGCCGCATGCGCTTTCCCGCCGGTACCCCCCCCCCCCACCACCGCCCCACCCCCCCCCAAATCGAGGCGCTGTCCGCCAACTTCGCGCAACGCCCATCGCTGCAGGGCTCGATGACGGGGGCCCCCAAGACGCGCACCCTCCAGATCATCCACGAGCTCGAGCGAGGGGTGCCCCGCGGAGTCTACTCGGGCTCCCTCGGCTTCTTCTCCATCGACGGGGCGTCGGACCTCAACGTCGTCATCCGGACAGCGGTGGTGTCGGCGGAGGGCGTCAGCCTCGGCGCGGGCGGCGCCATCGTGACGCAGTCGAGCCCCGAGGACGAGTGGGAGGAAGTGCTCGTCAAGGCGCGGCCTGTGATCCGCGCGGTCGAGTGCTGGCTGCGGCCCGGCGACGAGGCGTGTTGATATGCTGAGGGCGGCCGCCACCGCCCTAGCCCACCAACACCCTGCACGACCTTGCTGCCTTGTGCCAACCTTGGAACGTCGGCATGCTACAGGACCTTCTCCACAGGACCGGCCAATCAACATAGATAATGACTCACATAAAGTGTGTCATACGCATACGCCCAGAGAGCCTGCTGCTACGCTAGCGTACAGTTCGTTTACCGTGTTTACGCTTACTTGCGCCGGTATCGATGGTCACTGGTGTGCAGTCGTGCGCAGCATATCGCCTGTTCACTCGCGAGCCGCCGTCCCGGGCGCCTGCCTGGCCCAAGGACTCTCACGGACACGCCCCCCCGCGCCCCGGCCTGGCTGCTTTGTGGCGGTTTCGGGGACATCGTGGGAGGTTCCCCGGAGGAGCGGCCGCACACTGCTCGGTACCCCCCCTGCAGCTGCACAACTAAGCTCATGACCGACCCCCCCCCCAGCAGCAGAGCGCTGCTGCTGGGGGGGTCGGGTGGGGGGGGTCCGGACCCCCCCTGCGCAGCAGGAGCGCTCTGCCTGTGGGGATGTGGGGGGTGCTGGCATCTCTGTACAGACCAGCAGCCGTGTAAGTAGCATGCGTTCCAGTGGCGAGAGTTTATAGTCGGCATCAAAATCAGTGGTCTCACCGGCGGGCCCTCCTACTGCCAACCGGGAGGTGCGGGGCACGCCAGCCTCTCTTCTACGCCTCTCGTGCCTCGCGGCGCCTCTGCTTAAGGGGGGAAGATACGGCTCTCGCAGGCCAGCCCATCATACGCCGTGGCACAGCGGGGAGCACAGCGGGCTGTACAAGATATTGTTCCCTCTCTTCGCATGCTCGTCGTTGGTGATATCCGCGCGAGGTCATACGCCACAGGCCAGCAATCACTCGCTGATGAGACTACACTCTGATGTATAGGCGCGTGACCGCGTGTGGTATTACAAGATAGACTCACATGGTCACAAGTCTTTAGTAAAACGCCAGCACTCGACACGACGAAGGTGTATTGGGCTCGAAGGCGCGGTGAACACAACCGCCTCGAGCGTACCGCTCAAACACGAGCCGAGGGTGGAGGGGGGGGCGGCGGCGAAGAGGCGGGAGAGCTGGGTCCAGTGCGCTCTGCTGCTGGGGGGGTCGGGAACCCCCCCCAGCAGCAGAGCTCTGCTGCTGGGGGGGTCAGACCCCCCCCCCCCCCAGCAGCAGGGATGAGCTTAGTTGTGCAGGGGGGGTACCGAGCAGTGTGCGGCCGCTCGAGGGAGGTTCGTGTCATGAGAGAGAAGATACACTGGTCCGGCAGCGAGCTTGTTGCGGGCGGCGCGCGCAGCCCCAGCCGCGCCGTCGGCCCCGCCGCGGGACGCCGGACTCCCCGACTCCCCGTGCCCGGTGCCCCCCCCGTCGCCCCCCCCCCCCGTGCGCGCTCCCCCGCCCTCGCCGTCGCCCCTCGGGCCCGCGCCGCCATGCACGCAGGGGGCCTGGCAGCCGGGCACGCCGCTCCGGTCTACCAAGCTCTAAGGTACTATGTTATAAGCCGATCTAAGCCGCCCCGGAGCGGAGGGCTGGAGCGAAAAAGAGCAAGCGAAAAAGAGTGGTCAGTGACTCGAGGGAGGCTCAGTCACCCCGCGGGGCCGCGCTCGACCGTCGACGACACGTCGAGCGGCCTTTCTAAGCCTTTCACGGCGGTGTTAGCTGTTAAAACCGCGTATACTCACAACTCACGCGCCCGTGTCGATGCGGTATGGTCGTAAGGCGCTCTTTACGATTACGTGTTCACATGTATGGAACAGCTACCAAAACCAGCACTTGTCTCCGGCTACGACAATTCTCGTGGGAGGTGCGTGGGGCATCGGGGAATCGGGGCTCTTCCCCCTCCGACAGCGCCCGACCGGCGAATAAATTAGACATGCGCAGAGCAGAGGGAATCTTGAGCGCCGACTGGGAGCATCTCTGATCACCCACCTCGCGCGTGCCAGTCCTCCCGACTCCACGAGCCGAGGGTGGGCTTACACAGCTTCGCCCGTGGCGGGGTTCGTGACCTTGAGGGACACACGGCCACCGCTCACGAGATCTCCCTCGCTGGAGACGCCGAGCGCGACGGCCACAACGGCAACCACCGAGGCGACAAAGCCAACGCACGCAAAAGGAAGCCCGTACGTCAGGTCGAAGTGGTCCTCGGGCTTCAGTTTAGGGATGACGGGGTTGTGGCAGGTCCACTCCTTGGTGTAGATGACGGCGGCGAGGACGACGACGATGAAGAAGCCCACCGAGAGCACCACCCACACGAGCAGGGGTACCACCTTTGCCACCTTGGGCTTGACGAGGCCGGAGAGGGCAGCGGCGTGGAAGATGACCATCAGCCCGGCGGCGATGACGGCGATGATGCCGAGTGACATGGCGGCCATGCCCGTGTCGCGCAGCTCGGTGCATGACAGAAACTGGATCGGGTGCTTGAGGATGTCGCCCTTCACCACGAGAGGCAGCGCCTCAGCCACAGGCCCGACTCCCAGCTCGTTGATAAGGTCCATGAGCGTCATGCTGGCGCTCAGGCCAGGCACGTCGCCCGTCTCCCACCTGAGGGAGGGCGCGGAGGGCTGCTGAGGTGCAGGGTATTGCTCTGTGGAGTGCAGGTGAGTTGACCGCTCTGTCGTCTCACCACGCCCGGCCCGAAGAGTCCTTGAGCAGTCCGATGCCGTAGCGGGGCCCGAGGAGCTGCGCTAGCGTCTGATAGTCCTCCCCGCGTGTGCCCGTAGTCACCGTATTACCGTCCGCGTCGGGCCCGACGATGAAGTCCGCAGTATCGGGCAGGACTGCAGTGTCGACGACCGTTGGTGGCTCGTCCTTGAGCACAATGACAGAGCGGCCATCGGCCAGAGCGGCTACGCAAAACGCCACCTCGATTAGTGCAATGGTGACGCAGAGGACGTGGACGATGGCCGACCTGGCGGCAGGGTGGCGGATTGGGAGAGGAGAAGGGGGATGCGCGGTCCGGGGTGGGCCCACTTTGAGTCCATTTCGATGACCGGGATCTTCTCGGACGGCACCTGCGCGGAGCACGCGGCGGCGGGCAGGATACATCAACGCCGGTCGCGGCCCGTAGGTGGCAGTACACTGTGCATGCTGCTGTGGAGGGTCGGGCGAGCGGGGTGGGGCGGCGGGTGAGGGCACGGGCCACTGGGCCAGCTGCTGCGCTGCCCTTGCGCGAGAGCCGTGGGCTGGGGTCGTGCTCGGCGGCGAGGACGCACAGCGAGCGAGCGAGCGCGCGGTTGCGTGGCCCGGGGCGAGGAGGCGAAAGGGGGCGCGCACTGGTATCTTAGGGAAAGGAGCACGCGTGATTCAGGGGCACGCGTTTTTCAATTGGCGCGGGCGGCTCTTCCATGTGCTTCGCAGCCGCCGTCTTTTGATTTCGGCGTCGTCGGGGATGAATCGACGGAACTGTGCCCTTCCAAGTAACCCTATCTGCGCGGTGGTTCCGGGGGCCCACGTGAAGAGTCCTCGCAAATGGCCTTTACACTGTAAACTCTGTGAACATAGATTCATAGTGGTAGTGCACGTGCTCTCGCCGCGCTCGGCTTAGCTCTCTAGCAGAGCGTTGGTGTTGGGGCGCCAGCTAGGTTCGTCTGCACTCTGGTCTCTGCAACACCAGGAAGGCAAAGCCGTAAAGAAAAAGAAAACGACTCGCAAAGTAGTAAAGAAAGCGGATCCGCTTAATTAAATGTCTGCATAGTACAAGCCCCGACACGCGCCTCGAAGACTACATGGTCATAGTACTAAATCAAACATCACAGAGCGCATATGCGGGCGAGACGCGATCCCGATCGTCACTGACAGTACACAAGCGCAAGCCATCACAGCAACTGATACATCATGGAGCATGCCATGCCCCCCCCCCCCCCCCCCCCCAAACGCTGCCCTCAATCGCTGTCGTCATCGCCGCCCACCGCTGGCGCCGCTGCGCGCACGACCTTCTCCGCCTCGTCGAGCCGCCCCTTCTGCTCGGCAGTCAGCTCCGGCCCTCCTTCCTTTTTGAGGTGCTCGAGGGCGGGCCGGACCTTGCCGTCAATGCTCGCTACGACGCCGGCCGCGTTGCCTTTCCGGATCGCGGCCACCTTCTCGTTGACCGCGGCCTCGGCGCTCTCGCAGACCGAGTCGACCGCCACGCCGAGCAGCTTCGTGCAGCTGCTCATCAGCTCGTCTCGCCGCTCCGAGACGTCGTGCGGCAGCCCCTCCTTGTCGATGTCGGCCAGGATCTTCTTGGAGGTGCCGTCCTCGAAGATGGAGTTGTGCACGCGCAAGCTCTCCTTGGCCTCCTTGAGCGCGCCGGCCAGCGCCTGGTCGCGCTCGGCCTTGGTTCCGCCGATGCCGTTCTCCAGTACGCGCGTCGCAGTCTGCAGCCGAGAGTCGAGCAGCCCGGACCAGGCATTCACCTACTCGTGTCCACAGCCGCGTCAAGAGCGGAGGCCCGCGGGGCTGTCCTGGTCGGTCCCCGCCCGGGAGCGGACCGAGTGCATCAGGCCGAGCCGGTAGTCGGCCTTCTCGACGATGTCGAGCTCCTCCTCCGAGTAGACGAGGCTCCCCTTTTGCTTGATGTACAGCCGGTCGTCGAGCGCCTCGGAGCCGCCGATGGTGAGGCCCACAGCAGAGAGCCCCTCCGACACCTCGGTGTACGTGGCGCGCAGCGCAGCGGCCGTCTCGATCGGGCCCGCTGCGCGCTTCACCAGATCCATCACCTGCGGGTGGCGGTGGAACCCGAGGCTTGGCCAGAGAGTGGAGTTCCCGCGGTGTGGGCTCGCGGGCGTTGCTTCACCTCGTCGCGGTCTTTGATGAGCTTCTTGTTCTGCCGCTTCCGCATCTCGGCCTGCAGCGGACGGGGATGGCGGGGCGTGACACGGCCATCATGCCGTCTGGCGAGAGTGCCCCGGCGCGGCCCCGTGCCTGCAGCCCCTGCGGCTTTGGCGCCGCCTTCGCACGCGCGCCCCGCTTGGTCAACGGCACGCCGCCTGTTCACAGAGCGGTCGCCTCAGTGGCGAAAGGGAGCGTTCGGAAGCTCCGCTGCGCACCGCGCACCGTCATCGTCGTCACCACCGCCGCCACCGCCCTTCTTTGCGCCAGGCAGGGGCGGCGGCCTAATGCCGCCGGGCGGCGGCGGCGGCGGCGGCGGCGCTCCAGGCGCGCGGCCGGGCAGTGGCGGCGGCGCGAGGCCAGGGGGGCCGAGCGGCGGGGGCGCCATTCCGTGCATCGGCGGGGGCGTCGCCATCGAGTGCCTCCGGATGGCCTCCTTGGCCGCCTTCTCTGCAAAGCCGAGCAGCATCTCCTCGAGCGCCTGGGAGAGGAAGCGTGCGGCGCGTGTGTGTGGCTGGGGCGGGGCCTGGCTTGGCAACTGTTTGCGGGAAGGGGGTCGGGCGCTTTCGTCCCGTCATCGAGGGGGTCCTCCGTCTCGGCCGGCTCGCCGCCCGCGCCGGCGGCGATGCTCCTCCGTCGCTTCGCCGCCGCCTTGACGGAGCTGAGCGCGTCCGCCCTGCCCTCCCCGAAGCTCCTCCTCTCGAGCCGCTCGTCGAGCGACTCGTACCGACGAGGCGTCAGCCTCAGCTGCAGCTGCGGCTGATTCCCAGCGCTGGCGGCGGCGAGGGCACGCCGCAAGTCCTCGTCTGCCGTCAGCGTGACGCGCGCGCCATCGGGCTCGATAGCCTGGAGCACGAGGTCGGACTCCGCACGCCGATTGAAGAGCTGGCGCGCGCTCGACTCCGCCTCGGCGAGGCTCGCCGTGCCGGGCGAGAGGGGCAGCGACAAGTAGCGGTTGACGCCGTCATTGCCCACTCGCACCACTGGCGGGCGCGGCGGTCCCGTCCCTTGGACCGCCAGCCCAGCCGCCTCGAACTCTGACGCGTCGATGAAACCGTCGTTGTTCTTGTCGAGCTGCGCAAAGCTCAGCCTGCCCCCCGCCGGCGACCGCATCAGCGCCGGGACGTCCTTCAGCGCCTTGTCCATCTTGTCGTGCACCTCCTCGACGCGATCTGTCGCCGCAGCTGCGCGCTGCTCCCTCTCCCGCAACGCCTTGTCCATCTTGTCGTGCACCTCCTCGACGCGATCTGTCGCCGCAGCTGCGCGCTGCTCCCTCTCCCGCAACGCCTTGTCCATCTTGTCGTGCACCTCCTCGACGCGATCTGTCGCCGCAGCTGCGCGCTGCTCCCTCTCCCGCAACGCCTTGTCCATCTTGTCGTGCACCTCCTCGACGCGATCTGTCGCCGCAGCTGCGCGTTCCGCCGCTGCGGCTGCGCGCCCCTCCACCTGCGCGGCGCGCTCCACCGCCGACGCCACCGCCCCCTCCACCTGCGCCGCACGCTCCACCGCAGCCGCCGCAGCTCCTTCCACTAGAGCCGCGCGCTCCATGGCCGCAGCTGCGGCCCCCTCCACCTGCGCCGCACGCTCCACCGCGCGCTCCTCGACCTGGGCAACGCGCTCCACCGCGGCCGCGACGCGGTCCTCGAGCTCGTTCCAGCGGTCCGTGCTAGCGGCGGCGCCGATCAAAGGCTCTGCTGCCCCGATCCGACCCTCGTCGTGGCTCCGCTCGGCGCCAACGGCGGCGGCGGCGGCCGCCGCCGCCGCCGCCGCCGCGGCCTCTCGCTCCGCCCCGGCGGCTGCAGCGGCGGCCGACGTGACGTGCGACTCGATCGTACCGAGCCGCTGCAGCACGTCTTGGAGCAGCGCCTCCGCTGCTCCGTCCTGCAGCGACGAGGAGAGGTACGACGAGATCTCGCTCCCGCCCGCCTCCGAAGCGCTTGCGCTCACCAGCCCATCGCTCAGCGGACTCACCGCCCTCTTGGGAGAGCTCGCCGCCCTGTTGGGGGGCGCGAGGCGAAGCTGTAGCGGGCTCGTGTCGGCGGCGGCGAGGGCGCTCCGCAAGTCCTCGTCCTCCACAAGCGTGACGCGCGCGCCATCGGGCTCGATAGCCTGGAGCACGAGGTCGGACTCCGCACGCCGATTGAAGAGCTGGCGCGCGCTCGACTCCGCCTCGGCGAGGCTCGCCGTGCCGGGCGAGAGGGGCAGCCGGAGGAACCGGTTGACGCCGTCGCTGTCCTCCACTCGCACCACCGGCGGGCGCGGCGCAAGCGGCGGCGCAAGCGGTGGTGGCGGCAGCGGCGGCGGCGGCGGCGGCGGTAGCAAATTCGGCGGTGGTGGCATCGGCGGGATAAGGTGCTGCTGCAGGGGCGGCGGCGGCAAATGGTGCGGCGGCTGCTCCGGGCGCTCGCGCGCGGCGCCAAGCGCCCGCACGCGCTCCTCGAGGGCTCGCGCGGTCGGCGGGCGCGGGCGTGGCGGTGGCGGCGGCGGCGCTGCCGCCGTCTTGGTGGCGCGCGCCTCCCTTTTGGCCGCCGCCTCGAAGATTCTCCTCACCTCGCCGACGTACCACGCTCGCAGCTCGGTCTGCACCTTGTCGAGGTCGCGCTGCCTCGCGCCCTCGCCCTCCGGCCGCGACGGCGCGTCGGACACGCCCGCAGCCTCTCCGTGCACGGCAGTCCAGAGCGTCTCGCTCAGGTGCGTCTTCCCGCGCTGCAGCGCCGGCACGAACGAGGGCCTGCTCCCGGCAGGGCGAGGGTGGTATGCGGGAGGCCGAGGCGGATGGTGGGCGGGAGGGGGAGGCGGCGGGCGGCGGCGGGAGCGCGGCTGCCTGACGGCGGCGCGACCCCTCTTGAAGACGCGCCCAAACTTGCCCCGCTCGGGCGCTGACATGGGCGCTGGCATGCTCTCCTCCCCATCGCGCTCCGCCTGTCTCGGGGACACGAGGGCGGGGGCGAGTCGGCGGGCGTGAGGGAGAGTGGTGGCCAGAGCGACCGCCCCCCGCGAGCCCACCGGCAGTAGAGGCCAAGCGTTGTCGTCGTGGCGGCTGTGGTGCGAGCTGCCCGTGTTGCAGGAGGGGGCGGCCGACGACGCCGACGAGAGGACCTGCGCGTGCGCGGAGTGGCAAGACGAGACTGAGCGGCACAGCTGGACCCTTGGGAGGGAGACGGCGGCCCAAGTCACCGAAGACGAGGACGCCGCGACGCTCACCGCCGGCGCTGCGATGCTCACCCCTCCCTCGCTGGGGGAAGGGGCGAGCAGAGGCGGCTGCCGCCGGGCGCGCTCGAGCCGCTCGAGGTAGGCGGCGCTACGCGGCGGCGCAGCCGCTTGCCGCCTCAACGCCTAGACACTCACACAAGACGGCTGGCCGGGAGCGGTTCCGCTGCACTCGCCCGCCCGCCCTGCCCTCGCACGCGCCTGGATCTCGAGCTCGTGCTTAATTACTAGTTGAGTAGCGCTGTTTAGTTACCTGCTAATTAAGCCTGGATCTCGAGCTCGTGCTCATGCTGCCTACGGGGCGGGGCGGGGAGCGTCTCATCCACGCGTCGCGGCCCCGGCCACCTCGAGCGCAGCGGATGCCGAGCGGCGAGCTCCTCCCGCAGCGCCGCCACCACCGCCTCAACCTCGGCCGGCCCCGCGCTCGCCGTCGAGTCGCCCTGGGCGGCGTCTCTGCTCGAGGAGGCGCACGAGGAGGAGGCGCACGAGGAGGAGGCGCACGAGGAGGTGGAGTGGCGCAGGACCGCGTCCAGCGACTCCTTCCCTCCGCCCGCCTCGCCCAGCACACAGTCAAGCGAGAGACCGGACCGCTCGCCGACCCTCGCGAGCGGGCGAGACTGCTGGTGCCGCTGGTGCTGCTGGTGCTGCTGGTGCTGCTGGTGCTGCTGGTGCTGCTGCTGATGGTGCACCGCCACCGCCGCCGCATGCGCCGCCGCCACCGCCTGAGTCTGCTGCGCCTCCTCTCGCCTCCGCCTCTCGTCGAGGTCAGATCGCATCTGCTCGCGCATCTGCACGACTATCTCCTGCAGCTGCGCCTGCATCTGCGCCTGCATCTTTGCCTGCATCTCGAGAACCTGCGCCTGCATCTGGGCCTGCAGCTGCCCCTGCATCTCGAGCGCCTGCGCCTGCATCTGCGCCTGCAGCTCCACCGGGTCCGGAGAGCCTGCGCGCGCGGCCGCCGCATCCTGCGACGAGCTTCTCCCCAGCGGCTCGGCCGGCTTCTGCCGCGCGGCTGAAGGCTGCCCTGCAAAGTTCACCGACGGAGTCCGGTGCGGCGGCGGCGGCCGCTGCGTCGGACTGGGCACCGGAGCAACGGCCGCGGCTGGCGAGGGCTCCGAGGCGGCTGCAGCAGCTGCGGCAGCGGCAGCCCGCTTCGCCTTTAGCGCCTCCAACCTCTCGCGTGCTGCCGAAGCCCCGGCTGCACCCGACGCACTCGACGCCGCCGGCGACAGCGACCCTGACGGCTGCGTCGTGGGCGGCTCGGGAGGCGGCTCGGGAGGCGGCTCGGGAGGCGGCTCCGCAGGCGGCTCGGGCGATGGCGGCTGCGGGCTGGGCGCCGAGCTGGCGGCCGGCGCTGACTCCGCGGCGGCAGCAGCGGCAGCTCGCTTCGCCTTGAGCGCCTCCAGCCTCTCGCGCGCACCCGGCATATCAGGTCGGCCACCTAGCTCCTCCTGCTACCTGCCGTGCTCGAGCATCGGGGCAGCGCGGCGGCTAGGACGGTCCGCAATGTGGAAAAGAATTTTGCACTCACATAGCCGAAGAGAGGAGCGAGTTCTATTTACGGGACTGGCGCGCTCTGGGCAGAAAAAGGAATTTTAGCTGAAGAAGAATTTCACCAAAGCCGAAACTACCTCGCACGACACTGGGCACGGGACTGGCGCGCACTGGCACTAACACAGGTACACCTGAGGGAGGGTGTAGAGGATGTAGAGTGTAGAGCGCTGTAGAGCTGTAGAGATGTAGAGCGCTCTGGAGCGCTGTAGAGCTGTAGAGCTCTACATCCGGCGCGGGACAGAGCGATGCAGATGTAGAGCACTGTAGAGCGCGATTTTGCTGTAGAGTTTGTTGTAGAGGCCTCTACAGCAAACCCGCCGGGAAGGCAGTGACTCAAAGAGGTCGAGCCGCGCTAATGGGGTGTCTCCGAGCTTACTGGAGCTCTGATGGACGGCCCTGACTTCTATCCCTGACACACAGAGAGTCACTCTGGACGGCACACAACACCCTATAACTGCGTCATGACCAGCCTGCCATGCGTCGCCGGTGCCGCATTTGTCGCAGTGCTTCTGTAGCAGGCGGTGGACTGTCGGCTGCGAGGACGGTCGCATTTGCGCGAGGCGAGGCGAGCATTCAGACGCGCTGCATGCGCCATGCCTCGCGCTAGCGCGTGCGGGAGCTCCTGGCTGAGCGTTGAGTCCAGGCGAGTTGCGCTGGCCACGATCGCTGCGCCAAGCCGAGCTGACGCGCCGAGGCGCCGGCCAGTCGCAGCCGTGAGGCATGCCACAGCAGCAGAGGCACCTGCCACCCATTGGGCGGGCAGACAGAAGGCCAGAGCAGCACCGGCAAGTGCAACGCGCCTCATGTCGGAGAGCGACCGTGCCTCGTTCGCCGCTCCTGATGCGGATGTAGAGTTTGTTGTAGAGATTTCACGTTGTAGAGCGCCTCTACATCGCTCTACAACGCACGCAGTTCGTCCCGCGCCGGATGTAGAGCTCTACAGCTCTACAGCGCTCTACAGCGCTCTACATCTCTACAGCTCTACAACGCTCTACACTCTACATCCTCTACACCCTCCCTCAGAGGTACACCACGGGAGCCGCCTAAGCGACTTCCTGCGAGGACGGGGCGAGGCTCTTAGCTCCGTGCACTCGACCCACGACCGCCCTCAAAAAGAGTTTATCCACCTCATCGTGCGCAGCGAGTGTTGCGCAGTGCAGGAGGCTGCCCGTCCTGGCTCCTGCGTCCTGGGGGAGGGTGCGGTCGGCCCAGGCCGCGAGCGTCGCAGCGTCCCCTATGTTAGAGGAGGTGTGTGTACGGTAATGTACGTGTTTTTTGTTACCCCGGTTTGGCGCGGTCGGTCACGCTGTGTCCTGTGACACTGTGACTTCCAAACACACCCCTCGAGAGACACACACCGACGTCGCACGTGAACACAGGGCTTCAGGCCCCAAATGATGTGTGAGTGTTAGATTTGTTTGGTATTGCTTAAAATCTCTCTCTCTCTCTCTCTCTCTCTCTCTCTCTCTCTCTCTCTCTCTCTCTCTCTCTCTCTCTCTCTCTCTCTCTCTCTGACTATCTTCCACGTAGTAGCTAGTACGTGGTGCTAATCTGCTAAATCACTCTTCTATTCCACGCCCAGCGCGCGCGGCCGTGGGGATCCGGGCCGCCAATAGCACGGGTTTGGGCCTTGCGGCGCATGCGACGGGCACTGGGCGACGCCGACCGGCGCGAAACCAAACGCGTTGAGGTACCTCTCACAACACGTCGGGGAGTAGAACTTGCGGACCTCCTCGCCCTTGCGGAGCAGACGCTTCGCGTGCATTGTGAAGGCGTGCTCGTTCGCGCGGAATCGATTCTTGACGTCGCCGGGTGAACCGTGGTTGAGCAAGTCGGCGCCGGGCGCACTAAAGAGGATATGGGTGCCGGGCGAGTACCAGGGAAGGCTCCACTGGCGAGCCCCGAGCACGCTCACCAGGTTGCGAAAGCGCTCCAAGCTGAACGTCTCCCGCATTAGCTGCTCGTGGGTGCATACGCCGGCGCCGCAGACTCCGCCCTCGCTTAATGCGGCAGCGTGACGGCGGAACCCCACCGCGGCAAGGCGCCGCCACTCCGCCTCGGTCGACGCCCGCGACGAGGCTGCCAGACTCCGGCTGTAGTTGGAGAGCGAATTCAGCCGCTCCTGAGAGGTCACGGGGTCCCACATCTGCGGGATGCCGTCCGTCGGGTGTGCCTCGAGCAGTGCCTTTACGTAAGGCATCCAAAAGGACTCGCGGCGAGCAGACTCGCGGATCAAAAAAACAGCCATTGCACTGCGCAGGCCGACTTCGTTGATGAGCGGGGAGAGGCTCGAGTTCTGGATTGTAAAGGCACTCAACAAGCTGAGCTTTGGCACGCGGCACACCAGTTCTGCTGATCGGATGTTTTCGGTTGCCCGGACGCCGCGGATCGAGATGCCAAGAGTGGGGTAGTAGAAGGTGGCCAATTCGAGCTTCGGGCAGTCTATGCCCATCGCCTTGGACGCGTGCGGCCAGAGTTCCAGTCGCTCGGCAGTGGTCCTCCTCTCCCAGGTCTCGCGTCTCCAGAGGCCGCCGTCGAGCAAATCAGCGGGCATGGGCATGGATGGCACGGACGACACGTGTGTTGCCGCCATCTGTCTGTTTGGGAGTAGGTTTGTCTGTTTAGGGACGCACGCAACGAACAAGGCGAGAAGATGTAAAAGAAAAACAATGAATTTTCCTTTTTGTCTGCTAGTGAAGGGAAGAAAACTCCGGCGAGGAAGTGGGAAAAAGAAAAAACCAAACCGGCGCGCGCCAATAGGAGGGCTGAGGTCTTGTTCTACACCGTTAAGTCCATCATGCCGGCCGCGCTGGCCGGGCCCATTCCCGGGCCCTCTCCCGGGCCCTCACCCGGGCCCTCGCCAAAACGTCACGCCGCCGGCCTCGACCCCTCGCCCTCGCCAAAGCGTGTCGCCGCCGCGCCTTCCGTCCCGTACCACGAGAAGCAGGTCAAGCGGTGGTGCGGGCTGCACTGCCTCAATGCACTGGAGCAGCGTGCGGCGTTCACCCGTCGGCAGCTCAAGGGCTTTGCCGATCAGCTTTTCATCGCGTGCGCGGCGATCGATGACGACACCGCCAGTGAAGGCATCCGCGGCCGCGCAGGGACCGTGCGCGCGCCCGCTTCGCACGCCTTTGGCTCCGCGAGCGACGGCGACGTGGACGTGCAGGTGCTGATCGTCGCGCTGCAGTCGCTCGACCGCACGGTCGCGCAGCTTGCGGCAGAGCCGCCCCCGTCGCCGGAGGAGACTGCCGACGTGCGCGGGCTGCTCCTGCACGAGGACCGCGGTGGCGACGTGGGCGAGCACTGGTGGGCGCTCCGCCGGCTCGGTGACGACTGGTACGACCTCGACTCGCTCCTCGACGGCGGCGAGGTGGTGGCCCGCGGCGCCGACGCCTTCCGCGCACTGCTCGAGACACACCTCTCCTCGCTCTCGCCCTCTGGAGAGCGGAGGTCCGTCTACCTCGTCCACGGCCTCGTCGACCTGCCGCCGCCGCCGCCGCCGCCGCCGCCGCCGCCCGAGGCTGCCGCCGGGGGCAGGTCGAGCCCGAGCCCGAGGAGCCCCGCGAGGAAGGAGGTCGGGCCGCCCGAGGCCTAAGCCCGGGGTGGCAGCCGTTGCCCAGCGCAGAGAGGGAGAGTCGGAGAGAGGCGTCGTGAGCCGTGTGGCCCGCAGCACTTGGAGCACTTGGAGTGCAGTCGTAAGCGACCGCAAATTAAGGTCCGACACGCGACAGGTTGCGCCAGGTTGTGCGGCGGCACCGAGCACCGCCTCTCTGTAAATAATGCGCCTGCGGGCCGACCCCCACAGATAGAGCACTTGGAGCACTTGGAGGGCAGTCCGCCTCCGGGCCGAGTGTGCGTGTTTTTCTCTATCCTCTTGCCGCTCTCGGCCTCCCTCTTGCTTGCGCTCGGCACCCGGCACCGACTCGGTGACGCCACAACGGAGTAACCATGTCGAAGCGGCCTGCGGGCGACCGTCCCGCGACCGAGGCCTCCCTCCGCGCGGCCGTGCTTCCGTTTGCGCGCATGCCGCGCGATGAGCGGCCGCCGCACGCACTGCTTAAGCTGCCGGAGGGCCACTCGCTGGTCTCGAGCGAAACCTTTCGCGTGCTGTCTTGGGGTGGCACCGGCCACCGCGACGCGCTTCGACTGGGCGCGCCCTGGCTGAGTGAGCAGGTTGCCACGACCGCGGCCTCCGCCGCCGATGCCGGCGACGACTCGATCGAGTTTGGTGCGGCGGCGGCGCACTCGGACGAGTGGATGTGGGTGCCGGTCACCGTGCCAGCAGTCCCTCCTCGCGAGGGCAACGTGTACGTCACCCACGAGACTGGCGAGCGGATCCCTGAGCGTGGCGAGCTCTACCATCGCGTGTGGATCGAGGAGGGCGTCCCGCCAAAGCAGGCGCCGCTTTGAGGGCGCCACCGTCGGCACCGCTCGGGAGGGGCGAGCGCTGCGTGCCCGCCCCGTGCGCGCAGGTGCCGCTCGCTGAGTACGAGGCGGGGCTCGTCGCGCAGAAGGAGGCGCGTGCCGCGGCGGCCGGCGACCGGCGCCGCTTTGGCGAGACGGCTCCACTCGGCACCCGGCTTCGCACCGTCAAGACCAAGCGCGACGGCGACTGCTTCTTCTCCGCCATCTGCAAGGCGCTAACCCTAGCCCTCACCCTAACCCTAACCCTAGCCCTAACCCTAACCCTAACTGCTTCTTCTCCGCCATCTGCAAGGCGTTCGACTCCGCACACGCGAGCCGCGACCCGGAGATGTGGCGGACCATGTGGGAGCGCCTCCCCCCCGCCGACGGCTCCCCTCCGCCGCCGATGCCTCCCCCGACCGAGCCTCCCTCGGTCTGCGAGCTGCGGCGCTGCTGCGGCGCACACTTCAAGGAGGAGGCGTGGCTCGCGTGCCAGGCGGTGGGCGGCGCCGCGTTCGCCTTCATCGACAACACCTCCCTCGACGAGACGCGGCGAGATATAGCCGAGATACGGCCGAGATACGGTCGAGATGCGGTCGAGATGCAGCCGAGGTACAGCCGAGACGTGCCACACCTCGCTCGGTGAGATGTGCAGCGCAGCGCGCCGCCGCCGCACGACGCCCGAGATCGCGCGAGAGATGACCCGAGATCGCGCGAGAGATGACCCGAGGTCGTTCGCGATGCCAGGCGGAACATCGCCCGCCCCGCCGCCGACTCGGAAGGCAGCCGCACGCACTGGCCGACGAGAGTCATTCACAGCTCCACTATTCACACCTCCTGCTGTGAATAGGCAGCCGCACGCACTGGGCCGACGAGACGTCGCTCGCCACTCTGCAGCGCTACCTCAACCTGCGCCTGCTCATCTTCAACCCGGCGGCACACTTCGCCAACCAGGCCGCGGCGTGCGGGCCGGAGCTGCCGGGCGAGCTGCCGCCGGGAGAGCGCGCGGCCGACAACCCGCCGCCGCCGCGGTACGTTGTCCTGAGGCACACTCACCGAGGCACCAAGGAGCAGCACTACGAGCTCTACGCGCTGGGCGAGGCCGCAGTCTTGGCCGAGGAGGCGCTGCCGACCGGGATCAAGCGCGCGTTTGCCAAGGTGGTGCCGGGCGCGCTGGCGGCGGCGTGGCGTGAGCTGGGGCGCGAGGAGGCCTCGCCGCCGGCGGGGGCGAGTGTCTAGCGGGGCCTCGGGCCCCGCGCGGAGTCGGGGGAGCGGGGAGCGGGGGCAGGAGTCTCGCGCCGGCTCTGTCTCTCTCCCGCTTCCGGTACAGTGAGCATACACCTGTCCGAGAGACTCGGGGGGGGTCGCCGGTGGCGGTGCGCCCGCCCGGCCAGGTACGCGTGGGGAGCGGGAGCCGGGAGGGCGGGATGCGTCTGTTTACAGACCGTCTGACAGCGAGAGGCAGAGGCCCGGCCGCGCAGCGCCCGAGACGCAGACTGCACCACTTTCGCAGACGCGGGCGAGTGACCGCGAGCGTGTGCATGGCACGCGGCGGGCACGAGCGACGCGGCGCACCGACGACCGAGGTTCAGGGCTGATTGTGGTTGTTTTGCGAGTCCTAAAAGATACAGTCGCGCACCTCATGCGCGCGCGTGTGCCCTAGCGGCTAGCGCGTGCCTCAGCCGCACATGCGTATGCTTACGGGTTGTTGCACGAGTATATGGGCCAAAAGCGTCGAAAATGTCCGAAAAAAGCGTGTCTCGAGTTTGTTGCAGCTCCGCAGCCTGCGCGCGCTGCCGGGACGCACCGCTTGCTGGATCTGTGCACTCCCTGGGTCCCAGGGAGTGCACAGATCCAACAGGAGTGAGTAGACTCGACGCCGTACTTGAGATGGAGCTGCAGAAAGTACGCCGCCGAACGTGCCACCGACGGCGTCCTGGCGGAGGTGGTGGAGTTTGAGAACTGAGGCTGCGGAGGTGACGCCTGAGGTACCGGCCCGTGCACGGCGACTCAGCCGGCGACCGCCACGGGCTCAGACGAGACTTGTCGACTCGTTCCATCTCAGCTTCACCGTGGTCATCGGGCGTCTGTCGACGTCACGACCACGCATGCAGCTCGCGGGTTTGAGGTCGCAAGAGCCAAGATGGTGGCGTTTGGACATCCCAACCATCAAACAAGACAGCCTGTAGGTGATGGCGGGACGGCGCAGTGTTTGTGGCACTCGGCAGTAGGCACCCGCGGCACGGCCCCGCTGTCGGCTCTCGCGGGCTGCGGAACCGGCCCCATAAGGGGACGGTCCGGGCGAGTGTGGCAGCTCCTGCGCTAGTATGGGCACCCTCCATCACAACACTACTGATCCTGGTCATCAGAGCTGCCAGGGATAGCGTCAGGAGCCGGTAGGAGTCAAAACCCCTCATATTTGAGACATCGTGGCCCCGCATATACTCGTGCAACAACCCTTACACACGGTTGCTAGCAACAGTATGTCCACGTACACTCTTACTTCACAGGGCGCCGCGCGTCCCCCCGCTGCCGCACAGGCCTCTCGCCAGGCAGTCGTCCCGCATGTTGAGCGCCGAGGTGACCACCCTGCCCATGTCCATCGCGGGGAGGTGCTGCAGGTACTGCGGCAGCTCCTCGTCGCCGTCCAGCTCGAGTAGCTCGTCCTGGCACGTCTCGAGGACGGCGAGGCAGACGAAGGTGTGCAGCTCCTGCAGCGACCCCTCCGGCGGCGCCGAAAAGTACGCGTCCCACAGGCGGAGCACGCACGGCAGCGGCAGCTCCTTGGACAGGAGCAGCGAGAGCCAAGAGTCGAGCCAGCCGCCGCCGCCAGCCGGGCTGCCTAAGCAGGCGGGCTGCGAGCAGGCTCAGACAGCTCCCGTGAGCCGCGAGTCGGGAAGGCCGCCAGCCGCCAGTGGTGAGTTATTCACAGCTCTACTATTCACACCTCCTGCTGTGAATAGGTGATGAAGGCCGCCAGCCGCCAGTGGTGAGTCGCTTCTCTGCGTCAAGTGTGCTAGTGTCGACCAGTCTCGACCAGTCTCGACCAGTCTCGGCTGCTCTCGTGCCGGTGGTGAGGCGCTCCTCCGCCTCGAGGTGGGCGTACAGCTCGGGTAGCAGGTGGCGCAGCAGCGTGAGCAGGGCGACCGCCATCTGCTTGCGCCCCTCAAAGGTGAGCGCCCAGCTCAGCTGGCCCATCAGCCCCTCGAACCCAAAGTAAGCGTCCGTGTCCGAGTCGCGGTACACGTGCTCAAACGGCGCGAGCAGGTGAAGCATGCCGGAGGTGTAGTCCGCGGCGTGGCAGTGGAGGTAGGTGCGCAGCAGCCGCTCGAGCCGCTGCCGGCTGCGGAGATGAGGCGCAGCGGCGTGGTGCCCACGGACCTCCGCCTTGATCCGCCGCGTGAGCTCGAGCTGCGGATCGCTCTGCCACGCCCGCTCGAGCCGGAGGTAGCGCTGCTCCATCAGCTTGCCGAGCGATAGCTCCTGCGCCTTCTCGGGCCGTGTCACGCCGAGCAGGTACTTCCACGCCTCGGCGCGCAGCCGCTCGGGGATGCCAAGTCGACACAGGGTCGCAAGCTTGTCCATCTCGACGGCGCACTCCGACTCGAGCACCTCGGCCATCTCCTGCTCCTCGCGCGGCGTAAGCATGGCTGGGACCAGATGGGACCAGCGAGGCGGAGGAGCGAACTGGCAAACCAAAGAGAATTTGCCGACCCGCCAAGACTGCCATGCGCCAAAACAAGGCGCGAATAAAATGCCATGTCGGCAGGCCTCGCCGCTCACAGCCTCGCCACACGCACTACCACTTTTCTTCATATCTGGGGCCTCCGGCGCCAGTGCGAAGTCTAGTCGCCCTAAACCACCAGCCGATGAGCGACTCCCGGAGCGAGTCCCCGAGCAAGCGCGTGCGGATCGAACCGGCACCACCGCCTCAACCGGCAGGCACCTTTATGGCGCGCGCCGCCACTCCCCCGGCCTGCCCCAACAAGCGTCGACAAAACACTGATACACAGCCACTCACAGAGACCAAACCTGCACTCAGAACAGCGCCAAAACGAGCGAACACGCGCCCACCAACCACACGCGACAGAGCATAGCACAAAATCCGACGCGCGCACTCGCGACGCAGCGCAGCGCAGAAGCTGACGCTGACGCTGACGCTGCGCTGCGCTCGCTCGCTTGCTGCACGGCACGCGCTCCGCACACGCACGCGCGTGCGCTCGCGCGCTTCGCGTTCGCTCCGCGAAGGACACCCACAACTCGAACCCGAGACTCCCCACAAAACAAGAGCCCCTCGAACCGATAGAACCCAACTCATGCACAACCACCTCTACAGCTGCTCATATAGCCGCGAATCTCTGCCATAGGGAATGCAGGCTGCGATGGGCGAGTCCCTCCCATACGTGGAAAAGGCGCTGATGATCGAGACGATCCACATGAACAACACCCACGTGGGGACCGTCGTGGAGTGCATGACGCTCGACATGGAGTACGAGGGGGCAAAATTCAACTTGCACCAAAACCGCAACACCTACTACCTCTCAAGCTCGGACGAAATGGTCGACTTCGACGCGATGCTGAACCGCTTTGCGACGCCGGGCGTCCCACTGCCCATCAGCGACGGCTTCGTTGCCACCTACCTCGACGGTGCGGAAAAGAAACCCCTCCCCTGCCCAAATAAAGAAATATCCCTCACCCCCCTCCTCCTCCCTCCGTCCTACGACCCTCACAGGCGACCGGTGCAACATACCCCCCGGCGCCAAGATCACGATGAATGTGGTCGACCTCACCATGGCGCTAAAGGAGAAGACCAAGGAGGTCCCCAAATCCAAGGACAAGAACATGGTCCACTTCCGCGTCGAGATCATGCCGCAGTCGACCCTCCTCGCCGAGTCTGTGGACGAGGCCGAGATGACGCGCACCATGCGCAACCTCTTCCAGGCGCCGCGGGGGACGACCCTCGAGATCGATGTCCGGAAGGCGGTCCAAAAGGCCTTCGAGGGATTCTCGTTCAACATCTCTGCGATGAGCTTCTACGTTGACATCACGGTCAAGCGGGACGACGAGTCGAAGGCCCTGCGGCCCACCCACAACTCTTCCCTACCGACCACAGACAGAATCCCCCCTCCCCCCCCCCCCGATGCAGCATCCCATCTGCATGATCAAGCCGCGCGCGGACTGCCAGACGACCTCCGGCGCGGCCATCCGCATCGAGCCCATTTCCGGCGTCCGAGGCAAGCCCGCGATGGCGTGGCAGCACGACGAGAGCCACTCGGCGGCGAGCAACACGCTCCTGGGCTTCACACCCACGCCGCCCCCCCCGCCCGACGTCCCCATGCACGTCTGGGCGCGCCCTCTCGTGATCGCGATTCAGGAAATCTGCTTCGCCTCGGGCCGCATCATGATGCCGTACTCGAAGGGCCTCGACGGCGCGGCCCCAGGCACCAAGCTGTTCGGGTGCCACACCAAGGCACAGATCCCCCCTTCTTCCCCACCCTTCCTCCCGCCCTTGACTGCTCCACCAATCCACCAAACAGGTCCAATTCGACGCCCTGCACGACGTCCTCATCCACAACCCCAAGGGCCTCCCCGCGATCACCAAGGCGGACGGCCGCATCCACGTGGCGGACAAGGACGGCCGCTCCTGGCAGTTTGACCTCTTCTCCCGCCGCGAGTCCATCTTCTGCTCCAAGCACGAGTCGCAGCAGACCGCACAAAAGAAATCACAGAAAAAGAAAACCACTCTGGAATATAGGTGCCTCAAGCTGCCTCCGTTCGCGAGGTTCAACGGCGTCGTCGCGCACCACATCACGCAGCTGCAGCAACAAGGGCTGGTGGGGGACTTGAGCCGAGTTTGGTGCGACTGCCGCTCGCTCAGCGGCCCCCCACCTGGCCCCTCGACCGCCAACAAGTCCCCGGAGGAGACGGCAGCCATGCGCAACCGCCTCGTCGAAGCGCGAGAGAAGCGGAAGCGAGAGCGGGAGGAAGCGGAAAAGGCCTACGCGAAGCGCCGCGGCTCCACCTCCGCCGACAACGCATAGGGCCTAGTGATGCTGCTACACAAGCGCCACCCTCTTCCGAGCCACCTAATCCCGTTTAACATCCAGCGACCGTCTCCACTAGGCAACCCCTTTGTGATGAGAGGGGAGAGCGAGAGAGACCTCGTGGTCGAAGGATTCGGACAGGTGCTCAAACTACCACGGGGAGATCATACTAGAAAAGCTGAAGAAAATGTATTGCGAGATAGCAAAGTAAGGCTCGTGGTCTAGTGGTTCGGGGACCAACATTCTGTCTAAAGGCCCGGGTTCGGGTTTATCTCGGACATGTTTTTGGCCACACAAAGAAGTCACTGTGAGAGTCATTTTGTGAAACAAAAGAGAAACGATTTATCACCTTGA